ATGGGGAAGGGGGTGGGAATGGGTATGAGGATGGAGATTGGGATGGAATAGGGATGGGGACGCTGCCCCCCACCTGTTTGCAGCTCCTTGCAGCTCTGGCGCAGACACCAACAGGACAGACCTGGGGCAGTGCACACTCCCCAGCACCCAGCAACACCTGGTGCACGTGGGTGTGCGTGGGGTGAAACCAGCAGAGGCAGAGAGAAGCAGATTAAGTTCTTCCCATTCAGCAGGAATAATTGTCTTCCTAATTACTGTTGTAATTACTGTCCCATGGGGAATTCAAGGAAGAGGAAAGCTCTGTGGGAGAGGCAGGAAAGTTGGACCCAGGTGAGGTCCAGAGGGAGGTGCCACCCACCTGCCTCTGCCCCACTGCAGCTTTCCCCCAAATCTCAGAGGACTGAGACCCCCAGCAACATCTGGGCACAGGACACCAGAGAAGTGGCACAAACTGGGGACGTGGCTGTGATGGGATGGACCCCACCTCCCCACCACTACAGCTCAGCAAACCCCTCACACCTCTCCCACTGTCCTGAGCTGTCCGGAAAATCCCCCTGTTGCACAGGACCTTCCAGCCCAGCACCCAGCAGGAGGGCAGGTCCACAGAGCCAAAATCCACTGGGCTACAATTGTCCACCACTCTGTCTCTGCAGTACCTCACCTACCCAGGCAGTCATTACAACCACCGACATCGTATTCCAGAATGGCCCCCTCTGTCCACTGGGCCGAGTGGGGGATTTTGGGGCTCACAGCACCAGGGGGCAGGGAGAAGTTGGGAACCGCACAGGGGAATGCCCAGTGCTGCAGAGCTGCACAGACAGCCCCATCCTGCCCTGCCCTGGGGACACTCAGCCTGACTCACAGCAGTGCTGGGCAGACCTCCACCTTAGCAGAAACAACGATCGGGCCAGCACAGAGAGCACCCAGGAATGTGGCACCTCCCAAGGTGGTGGGAACCGGGTCGGGCTGTGCCACCCTGGGCAAGGCAGGGCAGAGCCAAGGGCAGAGTGGGTGCTGCGGTGCAGCAACGCCCGCTGGCCCCACAAAGAGCCCATCAGCACCAACTCTCCGTGGGGAGGGCACAAGTGGGGAGGGTCTGTCCCCCCAGCAGGGCAGGGGCAAGGAGCAGTGTCATTGCTCCTGGCTGTTCCCTCTCCTACAGCAAACGTGTAGTTCTGCATGCAGGAAGCTCAGACCACACACACAGACACGTGTGTGCACGGTTCATTGAGCACACAGTACATAAGCAGCTCAGGCTGTGCACTTGCATGTATGTGCTTACAGAGCGTGGCTTGCACGCTCACACACGTGCCCGGCTGGCATCACACACGCACACACACACGTGCCAGCAGCCTGCCTGCACAGCCTGACACAGCAATCCTGCCGCAAGCACCTGGTGCTGCAGGGGAAGCCCCAGCACTGCCATGCCCACACTTTGTGTCCTGCATATGGTGGAGCAGCAGCTCCTGGGACAGCACGGCTGCAGTGCTGGGGGGCTTCAGTGGGAAGAGCTGGGACCGGAGCTGTCACTGCAGGGCTGGGGGCACAGTGTCTGAGGATGGAGTGGGAGGTGAGAGGCAGCTGCAGCACAGTGTGACGGGCACTCAGGCACCCATCCCGGCTTCCCACATCGTTTCCAATCCCCATCCTCAGCACTGGGACTTTCCGGCATCCCAGAATGGGGGGCAGGTAGCCACCAGCTGAGCTCAGCCCCCAGCCACAGAGCCAGGCTTGGGCAAAACGAGGCTATGGACCATGTCCAGTCACAGGACGTCCCTCAGGAGCCAGCAATTGTTCCTGGTGGCAGAACAATGCCCAGAGAGCTGCCAGGGCACCACGGGCTGCTCCACACCACCTGGCCCAGGAGCCTCCTCCACCTGCCCTGCAGTGCCCAGCCCCAAGTGGGGTCCCCAGGCTCTGTTGCCCACCTGGCCCCATACTCATCCCTGGCATGCTGGGTGCTGCAGCACATCATGGCACAGCTCAGTTCTCGGGATTGCTCAGAGCCAAAAGCAAAGCAGCCACCCCTTATCCTCTACCTCCATGCTCCCTGCCTGCTGTGTCCAGCAGCACCAGCCCCTGGAGTGAGGGATGTGAGGGTCACGCTTGGATGAAGCTGTGGCAGGGACACGGTCATTGGCACCAGCCTCTGTCCTGGGGAGGATTTAAAGCCCTGCTGTACTTGACGTGGCCCCAACACTGCTACCCCTGCATCATGCGGGTGCTGTCGCTGCTGCTGCTGTTGGGGCTCTGCTGCCTCTGGGCCCGGCTGGTGGCTGCAGGTGAGCATGGGATGGGGCTATGGGGAGGGTTGGGATGCTGTGTCCACAGCAGAGAACACCCTTGCACCATGACCAGCAAACTCGGGGAGGGCCTAGTGTGCCAAAGGGTTAGGGTGCTCCTATCTCTCCCCAGGGTTCACCTAGCCTCTGTCTGGACCAAGGACCCCACTTGTGCAGTCTCGTGCCAGATAGCTGGGCAGCTGAACATGGACTCATCCATCGACTGCAGAGCGAGCACCTATCATCCCCCATCCCAAATCCACCTCTCCATCCTCAGCTCAGAACTGGGCATGGGGGTCTCAGTGCTTCTTCCTTACTATTAAAGCCCATCTGCAATGAGCTCTGCTGGTTCCTGCGGTGTCAGTCTCCTGGTGAACCCTGGTTGTACCCCCAGCCCCTGTGGGAGGAAAGTGCCACGGCAGTCAGCTGGTCCCAAGGCACACGCATCCTGCCTGCAGCCCTCACACCAGGCTGCTCACCCAGGCTATGATGTGTCAGGGGCATCTCTGGATCTGTGGAAGAAGCTGGGAATGGTACATCCATGCAAGCTCCCAGATGGCTTGGAGATGCCAGGCACTGACAAGGGACAGCTTGTAGTGATGAACAGTGGCCCATTGTAGGATTTATAGGATTTATTAGGAAGGTCCTGCCCAAAACAGCGCTGGTGTCCAGGACTGGCCCTGGCAGAGTGAGGTGAGGGGAGGCTGGGGGCAGCTCCGTGTGCCCACCTGCCCTGGGCTGTCCTTGCACCTTGCGCCCTGCACACACCCCACAGTGCTGGTCACCTAGCATCATTGTGGTAACTGCTGCCAGCATCGCTGCCATCTCCACCACTGTAATCTTCAGCCATCACTGTCACCGTATCCATCGTCACCTCTGTAGTCATTCTCATCATTTCCACCATAGTCATCACTGCCATTGTTACCATCACCATTATCGTCATCATCATAGCCCTCGTCATCATTGTAGCCATAGTAATAATCATGGTCATCATCCTCATCATCCTCATGCCCTTTTTTCTCATCAACATCATCATCACTGTCATCATCATCATCGTCGTCATCACTGTCATCACCCTTCTCACCGTCTCCATGCTCGGACTTCGGTTTCTCTCCCGACTCGGGCTTCTCTCCACTCTCCTGTTTCTCCCCAGCCCCCGGTTTTCCCCCCACCTCTGGCTTCTCCCCCAGCACGGGTTTCTCTCCACCCTCTGGCTTTCCCCCAGTCCCCGGCTTTTTCCCACTCTCAGTTTTCCCTCCACTCTCCAATTTCCCTCCACCCCCACTCTCTGGTTTTGCCATTGCTCCTGGTGTCATCTTTGGCTTTTCCCCAGCCTCACCCTTCCCCTCACACCATGGCTTCTTCCCCACGCTGGGTTTCTTTGCGACCTCTTGCTTTTCCCTCAGTGCAGGTGTGCTGCCCACTGTAGGCTTCTCCCTGTTCCCCGCTCCATTCTCAGGCTCAGGTCTCACCGCCAGCCGCTCCCCATGCAGGCACTGCTCTGCACTGCCCTGCTCTGCCCCCGGCTGCTGCTGCACAGATGGGCTGTGGGTGCTGTCATGCTGCCGGCACAGGGCGTCTGCTGGCGCCGCCACCTGCGGCTGGGTCACGGGGAGGATGGTTGCTGCTCCGTGCAGCCCTGGGTTACACCTTCCTGATGGAGGAAATGGAGAAAGATGAAACACCGATGGCAGCAAGTTCTTAGCAAAACGAAATGAAGATGCTGCGTATTATTTAAGCAGGGCATAAACACGGCACTGAGCATAGCTGTGAAGCAAGGGCACACACTTTTTTGTTAAGCAATAGCAAGCAAATGCACAGAAATAGCACAACACACTGCTGACATACATTGCCTGCCTCACAGTTCCTCTCTAGAATGGAATGGGACCAAAACGTTAGGAAGGAAGGCATCACAGCCACTGACAGCTGGCAAACCATAAGGCTTCAAGTCACTACTTATCTAAGACCTAAAGAAATTCGAGTTTCTAAAGGAGAACATTTAGGAGATGATGAAGGTATTTCTGCAGACACATTTTCATCAGAGTGCAACGGCCCCAGCGCCTCATTGCAGAGCAGCAGCACGTCTGGCTGACACTGAGCAGTTACTGCCTGGTAGTCTGAGCTTAAACATCAAACAGCCCAACTTGTAGTGAGCACTGAGTGCTCTGGAAGAGGAGACAGGCAGAATTTTAAACACTGCTCTAAAATCAGCTTGCTGCTCGTGCAAAAAGAAATGTGATTTCCATTTCTTTGAAAGTTGGCCATCTTTCTTGAGGGAAAAAGAAAAGTAAGGAGGAAAAATGATTCTTTCACGGGAATTTCCCCTCTTGCAAACGCATTCCCAGGTTGAGAGCCTTGGAGGGGTTGCTGGGAGCATGGCTGGAGCGTGCATACAGCCCAGGGCACGGGTCGGGGTGAAGGAAGCACCTCCCCAGCACTGCAGCTGCGTGCCGGTGCCACTGCAGGCTCTGTCCCCACCGGGGTTCAGTCTCCAGGCAAAGAACCCCCCTGGTATCAGCCCCATCGGGCCAGGCTGCATCCACCAGTGCTCGGGGTATGGGGAGCCCTGGTCCCAGCCACCAGCACCAGAAAAGCAGCGTCAGAAGGAAATAACAGAAAGCAAGAGAAGCGTCTGCAGCTGGAGTGCTCTGAACCGAACTTGCATGACATTTAGCATTTTGTAGAACCCAAAGGTTAGGAGCCTTAAGCAGGGCTGGAGCTCGCAAGGGTCGCAGCTCTCCTAGAAAGTGCTCAGAGACAAAGAACAAAGCAGAGCCATCCGCACAGCGCACCTCACCGACCTCGCAGCGCTGCCCTGGGCGCGGGGCCGTGCTCACCTGCAGCGGGCGCGGCGTGCAGCGGGGCACCGAGGGCCAGCAGCCCCAGCAGGAGCCAAGCACCCGCACGCATGCTGCCAGCACCCTGCCCGCCCGGCGCCGCTCCGGGATTTAAGGTTCTGCAGAGAGGCGGCCCCGGGCACCTCCCACGTCCTGCGTGCACCGTGGGACACCCGCAGCAGCGGGACGGGAGGAGACACCGGAACACCGGACTGCGGTCAGCCCTCCTCGAGGCACCCTTTGCTCCGCTTCTCGGCCCATAAACCCTTAATGGGCGCTCGTGACGTCAAAGAGCTTCGTTCACCCCCGGGGGCACTTTCCCAGTTCCAGGAGCTTGGGAAGGAGTTGCAGAGAGAGATCCCCTCTCTCCATCACCCTGGAGGAGCTCAGCTCCACCTGTGCAGGGTTGAATGTCAGTATTGTAGCCTGTTATGCTTTAAAACCAGCAGGAATAAATGTCTCCTGGCAGACAGAATGCAGAGCGCTACAGTGCTATGTGGAGGAGAGCTGCCCAAGGCAGGCACTGCAGCTCAGCTCCATGCTGCCAGCCCCTGTCCTGGACTTGCATTGAGAGTGAACAAAGAATTCAGTGTGCCACCATGTTTGTGTCTCTGCTCTGCACCAGGGTATAAAGAGCATCTCTACCACTGTAAGCAAAAGCACACCACTCTGTGAAAATTCAGAAGGCAAAGCTCCTGCTCCAGAAAGCTTCATCCAAATGGTGGCAAAAGTCACACATGGGCAGCACTGCGGCCATGTGCTCAGCAGTGGGAAGGTGCAGGTCCTGCATGCCACCAAACCTGCGTGGGAAGAAGAAAGAAATGAGCTCGAAGTACAGGTTTCTTCCACTCCTCGTGGCCATGACTCAATTCTGGAGCTATTTCCCTGTGAACCGCCCCTATCCACTGAAATCTCTGTGCCCCACATCTCAGCACAGTGGTGTCAATGTGAGAGCTCTCCCAGGAGCCCCCTCGCCATGGTTCCCTGCCACCCGCTGTGCTGCCCAGAGCCCTCCAAGCCCCAGCATGCAGAGCAGCTCTGCACAGTGCTGGGCGCTGCCACTCATGGATCTCTGCCCGGTGCAAGAGCAGGCACCAGTACCTAGCGGTGCACTTGCTGCAGGTGGCACTGACGTTGTCCTCCAAACACCCCACAGGAGATGTGTTGCTGGCACAGATGATAACTGTGCAATTATCTCCATTAGTCTTTAACCACAGATTACTATCTACTTCCTTTCTATCTCAAAAATGACGAAGGCACGGGATGAATTCAGCTGGTGCGCGTGGCAGTGATTCAGGGCACGGCCCAAGGAGCAGCACAGCACAGCTCCCAGAGCCTGGGAGCTCCCAGGGGCACCACCATGCAGTTCCAAGGGCACTGCCACACTGCTCTGCTGCACCCCCAAACTCCTTTGGAACAGAACTGTCACTACAGCACATTTACACTTCTGTAGATCCAAATGTTGATCACAATTTAGAGAATCAGGGAGTCAAATATTTTACAAGCATGTTTGTGTACAGAAATAAGCATTTTGGTAAGGTGAATTTTACAGGTCCTGCTCGGCACAGATTTGAGTCCCCAGTTTGCACCTCCATACATGGCTGTGGGTTCTACTGCAGTGCAGGAAGTGAACAGGAAGCAACTTCGTGCACCTGGCGCGGGAGCACAGGGATGGGGCAGCACATGGAGACCAGCCTGGTCAAACCCAGCAGCACCAGCTGTGCCCCAGGAGCTCAGCAGGGCAATGTCACACCGCTGTTTGTGTGCTGCTGCTGAGAGCATCACTGGTTTGGGCTTTTGCAATGGAAGACTGCCACAGACACCTGATGCCTCCCATCCTTCCAAGTTCCAGTTTGTTTAGTTTTATTTTATAACTGGCTTGGCAGCATCCAAGAACCAATACAACAGATTTCCCTACGAAAGAAACCTACAATTGTCATTCCAACAGAAAAATCTCCACTGCTGTGCATCGCTACTGGGCCCAGCAAGGCGTGGGGAAGTCACCGTGACTGCGCCACACTTCGAGTGGGAACGCGGGGTGAGAAACCGAGCTTCGGTACACAGCGCTGGGCCGCGGGGAGCACGGTGAGGGGGAGGCCGGCAGGAAGCGGCGGCGGTGCAGCCCGGCCGGACACGGCAGGAAGCGGGCAGGGATCGCCCCGCCGGACCACCCGCCGGAAGCCGCCCCGGGCCGCAGCCCGCTCCGGAAGCTGCTGCCACTTCCGGCGCGCGCCGCGGGTCGCGTTCCGATGACGTAATGAGCACGGCGCTTCCGGAAGCGGCGCCGCGGGCCGGGAGCGGGGCGCGATGGGCGCCGCCCGTGACGGGGAGCAGCAGTCGGGGCCGCCGGGCGAGGAGGGCCCGGGCGGCGGCGAGGAGCAGCCGGGCGGCACGGTGAGGCGGGCGGGAGGCGGCGGAGCGGGCGAGCGGGCGGGTGGCGGGCTCGGGGCTGACGGCTGTGTCCCGCAGAGCCCCTGGAACATCATGATCAAGCATCGGCAGGTGCAGCGGCGCGGCCGGCGCTCCCAGATGACCACCAGGTACGGGCGGGCTGGGACCCCGGGAGCGGGCTGCGCAGGGCTGGAGCCGGGCCGGGCCTGCGGAGAGCGAAGTGGGGCTACCGGGCCGGTGCCAGCGCCTCGCCTGACTCCCCGTCTGCTCCCACAGCTTCACTGACCCGGTCGTGTCCATGGACCTGTTGCGAGCCGTGCTGCAGCCCAGCATCAACGAGGAGATCCGGGGCGTCTTCAATAAGTACATGAAGGTGAGCCGTACAGGGCACAGCCACAGCGCCTCAGAGGAGTGGGAGTCAGAGCCCAGCTCTGGACACCCTGCTCTGGGTGCAGCAGGGGAGTTGGGCGTTGCACCCGGGCCAGAGCTCACCTGGCTGCTGACGCCTTGCTGCTCCTTCCCCAGTTTTTCCAGAAGGCAGCACTCAATGTACGTGACAACGTTGGGGAGGAGGTGGACCCAGAGCAGCTCATCCAAGAGACGTGTCGGAGCTGCCTGGAGCAGGTGGGCACAAGCACGCATAAAAGTGCTCTGAAACTATTACTGGGACAAGGCTTGGGGGCAGATATACCCAAATCTGAGTCTGTAGTGACCAGCTGCCAACAAAGAGTTTGATCCTTAGATGTGGCTTTTATGTTTCACATGGCCTGGGGCTTTCCCATCAGCACAGGTGGCTTTGTACACAGATCCTCTATCAAAGGGTGAAGCAGGGTAGACCCCCTTTCCACCCAGAATCAGGTAACTTTCCTTTTCTTCCTGCAGGCCAAGCTGTTGTTCTCAGATGGCAAAAAAGTTGTGTCCAGGTTGCCCCATGAGCAGATGGGACCAAAGGTAAAAGTTGTTATTGTTCTCAGAGAATTAAATGATTTGTAAGAACTGGGAGGAATAGAATGACAGGGTTGGAATTATCCATCAACTGTGCAAGTGAGGAGGTAGAGCTGGGAAACGTTAGTCTTGTGGGGAAAAGTAACCTACAGATGAATGCAGACCACAGGCATAGCATCTGAGTGCTTCACACAGCTATGGGGTGGCTGCAGAGTTTCTCTATGCCCTTGTGCTCTCTGCCTTGAGTCAGCAAATGAGAGCTGTAGGCTGTGTGCATGGGGCCCTGCCTGACTGGGATGGGAGAAGGGCTCGTCTCCATCCTCCCACCATTCCTCTTCCAGCGTGCCCGACTGATGGATGAGGAATTGAATCGTCGAGGAAGCCCCCTTCCCAAAAAGGTAGGAGGGTTTTCCACATGAGGGATTTATGTTTTGGGAGACCTGTTCCTTGCTCCTGTTATTACCACAGTATGAGCAAGTGCAAGTGTAAATGACTTTTGTAAAGGCTCAGAGGTGCTGATAGTGTGCTCCTGGTAAAAACGTCTGCTTCTGTAGGAGGGAACAGATAATCAAAAGGGGTCCTCTCTAACTGCACAACTGAATGACTGAAGGATTTCTTTCATGCAGAGAAAGGGACGGCCTCCAGGACAGAGCCTATCAAATGATCGCGGGGTCTCAGGCATGTCTGCGTGAGTATTGGCCTCAAGCTGCTGCCTGTGCTTCAGGGGGCAGCAGGAAGCAAAACTGGCTGAAGTAAGGGGCACCAAAACCTGTGGTGTCCTTCCCCCTGCACAAGAGAGGTGCAGAGAGAGATGTCAGAGGGCAAGAAAGTTTTGGCTGAGGTTGAGTTGCAGGAGGCAAAGCCTTCCAGGAAACAGTTTTAAACAGGGCCATGGAATGCACAGAACCAGGTGGATGATTCAGTGAGCTGTGCATGACACAGATGGTAACAGGGACCACAGCAGAGATGGGGGTCCAGAGCGAGGTGGAAAGTGTGAGAGGGTGGAAGGGTTCAAGCTCAGATTCCTGCTGCTGGGAGCTTTTGGTTTCTGTCTGCATCGATCTTTCTAGGACCTGTTCTTATTTCACTTTCCTTCCCTTTAGGTGGAAGCTCAAAGTCTCTGAGCCTGTGAGAAGGGATGGACCAAAGGTATTGGCTGGCTGCTGCTGCTGGGCTCACCCTCTCCTCCCTTCCCTTCCGCTAGCAGAGCGGCAGCACAGGACAGTCCTAGGTTGTGCCCTACCCTGCTGAGTCTCTACAGTGCCTGGAAGCCTTTGCTTGCTTCCTCCAGACACTGTAGCTCTGTGGTGTGGTACAGCTGTTAGGAGACATGGAAGAGCCTTAGTAGTAGTCAGGAGGATCCCACAAGTGTTTCCCACAAGGGAAAGAGCTTAGATCAGCCCAAGGTGATGCAGTTTCCTTCCTCTGTGGCAATCCAGAGGTTTGTGGCTACCTCCCTCTCTCCCACATCGGGGGCAGTTCTTAGGTTCCCCATCAGAGAGCTGAGGCTCATGGAGCATTGGCTGGCACCAGCTTCATTTCTAATGTTGCCCCTTTTCCAATTGCTCTGTAGTGGGATCCATCCCGACTGACTGAAACCACAACCTTTGTGCTGGGATCTCGAGCAAACAAGTAAGGAATGGCCCTGTTGATGGAGGGTGGTGTCTCCCAGGCAGGAGCCCGTAAGACTCCTCCCATCACTTCACTTCTCTGCCTCGAAAGCAGTAGGAAGGGCTGGGGTCTTGGGAGGAGAGGAGGTGCCCTGTGCTGCTGCAGGGCCCCTCTGCCCCAGTGTAACACCCCCTTGTGTTCTTTTTTCAGAGCTCTCGGGATGGGAGGAACAAGAGGGCGACTCTACATCAAGCATCCCCACCTCTTTAAGGTCAGATACCACAGCAGGATGCCTCCTCCTTTGGGGTTTGCTCAGAAGCAGTTTGTGATGGGAACTGGCAGTGTGTGCTTTGGCTCGCTTGTTTTTTCCTCCCCACACCCCATTTGTTGTCTTAGAACACGTACACACAACCTGGCCAGCACACTAAAACATAAGTTAATGGTAGCACAGCATCTCAGGTGCTGGTTTTGCCCAGAGTCAGGGTTTTTATTTGAGAGGAGAGCAGGCAGGGCTAAGCCCTCCCTCTGGGAGCCCCCAGCACTGCGCCGTGGGGGTGAGGTGCTGGCAGCAGAGCACTGGAACGGGCTGTGCCCCGCAGGAGGGTGGTCCAGGTGGGAGGTCTGTGTCCTGTGTTCAGCCAGGTCCTTGCTGCTTTATTGCAGTACGCAGCCGACCCGCAGGATAAGCAATGGCTGGCAGAGCAGCAGCACATGAGGGCCACTGGGGGCAAGATGGTGAGTACGCCCGGGCTTGTGCCCGCTGCAGCCCAAGAACTGTGCGGAAACCCGCTCAGGTCGGACAGGGGCGGAGGAGCAGAGAGGCAGGCAGCACGCCACGGCAGGGCCGTGTGGCAGGACAGGCAGAGGCAGGGCTCGGGCACCTCGGCCAAGAGATGTTTGCTGCTCCCGGGGCTCGGGCAGGCGCAAGAGCCAGGAACGCAGGGACGGGGTGGTAGAGCTGCCTTGTGGGCACCGCAGGCCCCAGCAGAAGCACAGCGCGTGTCTCGCCTTGCTGCAGGCCTACCTCCTGCTGGAAGAGGACATCCGCGACTTGGCGGCCACTGATGACTACAGGTGAGGCCCTGAGCCCTGCAGTCAGTGGGGTCACTTGGATGGATCCCCGTGCCGGGGACCCTGTGAGGCCTCGCTTGCCCCAAGAGCCTGTGACCCGCACTCACCCCGCTCTCCCGCAGGGACTCGGTGGACCTGCGGCTGGAGGAGCTGAAGCCCTTCGTCCCACCTGCCTGGATGACGGAGAAGATGCAGAAGTACATGGAGACGCTTCGCAATGGGGGGGACCCACCGCCGCCCCCTGAGATTCCCCCCGAGGCCCTTCCTGAGGGTCCTCCCGAAGGCCATCCCGAGCCCTCAGACCCGCCCCCGGCCCCGCAATAAAAGCCGCTGCTTCGCACCCGTTTCCACGCCTGCTGGCGGGAGGGCGGGCGGGGCGGGGCTGTCCCTTTAAAGGCTCACTGTGACGGGGAAGGGGGGGCGGGGATCTTCTACGCATGCGTCGTCCCGCCTCTTCCGGGCCCACCCGCCGTTTCTGTAGCAGCCGCGCTCTCGGCGGTGTCCGATTGGTTGGCGAGAGCGGAACTGCGCGCTGATTGGTGGGGGCGTCGCGAGTTTGAAACATTCAAACGGAGTGCGGGAGCGGGGGCGGAACGGAAAGCAGGGGAAGCGGGGCCGGGATCCGGGATCGGAGCCGAGCCGAGCCGAGCCGAGCCGCGTCCAGCACAGCAAGCCACCGAGCGGGAGCACGAGGGAGCGACCCGGAACCGCCATGGCCTCGCAGAACGCCGACCCTGCCGCCGTGCCCAGCGCCGCCGCCCGCAAAGGGGCTGAGGCGGGAGCCACGGCCGCCCGAGGCTCCGTGGGGAAGAGGTGAGGCCGGGCCGGGGGCCGGAGGCGGTTGGGCTGCCCCGCCCGCCGTCGCCGGTGCGGCCCGTAACGCGTTGTCCCCGCAGGCTGCAGCAGGAGCTGGTGGCGCTGATGGTGAGTGGGGCGGGGGACGGCGGGGGGGCGGTGCGGACCGGGCCGGCGCTGACGGCGCTGCCTCGCAGATGTCCGGCGACAAAGGCATCTCCGCCTTCCCCGAGTCCGATAACCTCTTCCGCTGGATCGGCACCATCGACGGTGCGGCGGGCACGGTGAGACCCCGCACGGCACCGCGCGACGCGGCCCCCTCCCCGTCCCCCTTCCCTCCCCCCGTCCCCCCACCCCGCTAACTGCCGCCCGCAGGCCTACGAGGAGCTGCGCTATAAGCTGTCCCTGGAGTTCCCCAGCGGGTATCCCTACACCGCGCCCACGGTGCGCTTCCTCACGCCCTGCTACCACCCCAACGTGGACGCTCAGGGCAACATCTGCCTCGACATCCTGAAGGAGAAGTGGTCGGCGCTGTATGACGTGCGCACCATCCTGCTGTCCATCCAGAGCCTGCTGGCAGGTGGGTGTGCTGGGCGTGGGGGCTGTGAGCGCCTCTGACCCATCCTGACCCTGCCCTTATCCCCAGAGCCCAACATTGACAGCCCGCTGAACACGCATGCTGCTGAGCTGTGGAAGAACCAGGCTGGTGAGTGTCCTGAGGATCCTCCTCGAGCTGCGCAGTGGCACAGCCCTGCCTCCAACCTCAGCCTGCACCCCCTCTCCCCACAGCCTACAAGAAGTACCTGCGGGAGATGTACAGCAAGCAGGCTAAGAGCCAGGAGACCTGACCCCCACCACACCACCCCCTTGTCCCTGTCTGCTGCGCCTTTCTGTATTATAGGCTGTTTTTAACTTAATTCTGGAGTGCGAGCTACGGTTAATGTATAAATAAATACGCATCTATAGGTTCTTCCATCTGCTTACATGCATTGCACAGCTGGGTTACCTGCAGTGCTGTGGCAGGAGGCTACAGGGTAGATGGGAGGGATGGAAGAACGCAAGTACACATCAGGTAATGTGGGGCTTTATTACCGCCCTACAGGAGGAGCTCGTGGGGCACGTGGGGTCCCATCCTCCTGAGCCAAGTCGACCTTGTGTTTCCTGACCCCGGTTCACAGCACCCTGCAGCAAGACCCAGTGCCAGGCCCTGGCCTGTGGGATACAGGGGCTGTGCCCTCCTCTGGCCCCACCACGTGCATGGATTCCACTGTCCATAGCGGGATGTTGGCCGTGCTCTCCATCTCCACCAGCATTGCCCTCACCTGCTCCATCTCCTCCTCCAGGCATGGGGGAGCTGAGGGCAGCTCAGGACCCCCACCTCGCCACCCCCCCAGCCCAGTGCGCAGTGGGGTCACACCACCCACCCCTGGGGAAAAGATGCTGCAGAGGTGGTGGGCACAGCACAGGTCCTGCAGGAAAAGCTCCAGGGCAGAGAGGAAGAGCACCCACAGCCGCTCCAGCTCTCGCCGCTCCTGGGAGCCCACTGCCTGCCGCAGCCATGCCAGCAGTGCTCTCTGCAGCCCTGCAGGATGGAGACGCTCAGTGGGCTGCAGCCCTTCTGTTCAGTCCCTGTTCTGCCCACTGCACGGACCCTTACCGACACTGAGCTCCCGCACCTCCGCGCTCCTCCTGTGCCGCTCCTCACGCAGCTGGGGGCCATCAGCACTGCCCCCCAGTTGCAGCACCAGCTGTCGGTGCCCCGCCGCTGCCTTGCAGAGCGCAGTCTGGGTGGCTGTGCACACCCCCTGTGCCCCGCAGCCAGAAGCAGCCCCTCGCCCCGGTGCCATCCTGTGCCATAAGGACTCAGCTTCTCGCTGGCTCTGCAGGACAGGGGTGGGTCCTGAGCTGGGGTCCTGCACAGTGCCTGTCCCGTTGCTCCCACAGGCACTGGTGTTCCCTGGACCTGTGAGCCCTAGCCCAGGGCATGTCCTGCTCTTGGCACCCCTTTGGCTGTGCTCCTCCCCAGCTGCAGAGGCTGCACGGAGACACAGGTCCCCAGGGAGAGCTGGCACAGACCAGGCTGGCTTTTCCAGCAGTGCCTTTATCCATGTGCAAAGGGGTGGCTGCTGTCTTAAGGGGGGGGCAGTAGCCCCCCTACTTTATTTGATAGGATACCCCATCCTTTCCATCAGAACCCTGCAGCAATGCTTGTCCCCCTTTTCCCCCCTTTCCCTTTCCAAAATCCAGTGTCATCACACATCCTGCCAAGAGTGAGCAGAAGCAACCTCCCAGTGCTGCCTGCTGGGACCACGGGAGGACAGGACTGTGCTCCCTGCTGCTGCTGTCGTGGGAAGCAAGTGCTCCTGATGGAAACTCTGAGCTCAGCGCTGGCTGGTGCCCAGCCAGCAGCCCATGGGAACTGCTGCTCACACGCTCGCAGGTCAGGCTGGTTGTATGGCACGGCACTGCACACTCCCCCATGTTCCCCTGCATGGGGCACAGAGCCACAGCCCCCCCAGGCACTCCCATACTGGCAGCTCAGCCTTTCCCCTTTTAATGAGGCTCATCCATAAACCACATCTGTCAGAGTCAAGGAAAAGCTCAGCCACCGGCCGAGGGGCACAAGCTGCTGCAGGGCTCCAGCGGGTGAGCAGTGAGGCCAGGTGCTGCAGCGGGGCCACTCCTGGGCAGAGGAGCAGGGCTGGCTGCCGCAGCCGGCCCAAGGAATGTCTGATCCCTTACTGCACGCCCTCCATCATCTTCAGGAACTCTGCAAGAAAGAGGCACCATCAGACCCAGCTGTGCCAGACACACAGCCCAAAGGGGCTGAGCAAGCCGCAGGGCCAGGGCTGCCGCTCACCATCGAAGTCAATGCGGCCATCGTTGTTCTTGTCTGAATCCTTCATGAGGTCTTCTATGTCCTCCTCGGTGACGTGTTCCCCGGTGGCCCTGAGAATCTCACCCAGCTCCTCGATGTCGATGAACCCATCAGCATTCCTGTGGGAGAGCAAGGGCAAGATGTGGCCCTGCTCGCCACCAAGGACAGGTGCCAACAGGCACTGCCCCACTCACTTGTCGAAGATGCGGAAGCAGTTGGCCAGCTCCTCCTCAGACTTGCCCTTGGCGTCCTCTTTCATCTGGCGCACCATCATCACCAGGAACTCCTCAAAGTCGATGGTGCCGCTGCCTGCGGGAAGGGAGCGTGATGTGGGTCAGGCTGTGCACTCGAGCCACCCACCACCCCCATGGAAGCTGCTCACCATCCTCGTCCACCTCCTCAATGATGGCATCCAGCTCCTCCTTGGTGGGGTTCTGGCCCAGCATCCTCATCACTGTGCCCAACTCCTTGGTGCTGATGTCCCCACCACCATCCGCATCAAACATGTCGAAGGCAGCTTTGAACTCTGCAGGGAAGACTGGTCAGTGTTGGGGCTCAGGCAATGGCGTGAGTCAGGATGGGGCCCCGCTCCTCTCCCTGCTCACCAGCGATCATCTCCTCGCTGAGGAAGGCACGGGCCTCCGCCTGCTGGTCCGTCTGTAAGGCACGGGGAGAAGGGGTCAGTTCCTGCCCCATGCACCCTTGCCCTGCCAGCACAGCCCCTGCCCAGAGTCAGCAGCATAAGGGGATCTGCAGCAGTGTCTGGCACAGTGCAAAGCCTCAGCCTCTCAGCACAGCTGCTAAGCCTTCGTCCAGCTCAGCCCTGCAGCACGTGGCTGTTCCCTGAGTGAGCCAAGGCCCCAGGCAGCCCTGCAGCTCAGCTGCCCCAAGCCCCATGCAGCCGCCCACTGGGGGTCCATGACGCAGGGGCCGCCATGCTGCCTTGGCATCCCAGGCACGCGACACTATTTTTGAACCCTCCTCAACTCCCCTTATAGGGAGCAGTGCTCAGCAGGCACCTGTTTGCCCTGGATCGAGTTTCTCTTGGAGGCGAGGGCTGTCTGGGGCCACAGAGGTGTCGCATGACCCAGCGCTTGGCTTTCAGTGCCTTCGCATAGCCCAGATCCAGCTCTGATCGCCCCATGCACCAGTTACCCCCAGGCAGCCGTGCACTCCCTCCCTGAGGCATGTCTCACAGGGGTACTTGTCCCATAGGGGGATATATGCCATGGGGATCATGTCCCGCTGCCCCCATGTCCCTGCTGCCTCCTGCCATGGCCAGCCTGCAGGAATCATCCCTCTGCCATCGCCCCATAGAGGTGCCTGGCAGCCCCACACCGCGGTGCCCAACACCTCTGGCCCAGCCACAGCTCACCCCAGCACCACTGGAGCACTTACCATTGACGCCATCTCTGCTGCTCTCCTCCCGCAGGGAGTCACCACCTCCTGCACCAGCAGCCCCCAGACACTCCTTGGCTCCCCAATTTGTAGTGTCCCTGTGCCCCCAGCCGTTGGCCCCCAGCCCCAGCAGCCTATCAGCTCCGTGGTGGAAATCCGGCCCCTCTCATTGGCACCGGGCTCATTTTACCTAATTTAGCCAAAGCGTTATTGGCCAAGAGCGGGGGATTAAACGTGGGTCTGAAGTCGGGATAGAAATTCAAGCCCTGCAGGGAGGGACACAGCATCTTGGCAGGAGTGTTGCTGCTTCACCTACACCTCCTTGCCCCAGGACAGCTCAGCATGGAGAGGGTTAAAAATAGCCCCAACGAGCGTCATCCCCAGCACCAGGACTGGGCTTCCCCCATGTCGGGCCAGCAGTATGGACAGGGTCGGACAGCACTGCCTGCACCACCACTAACCCCACAGCACAGACTGGGGCAGGCGGGCAGCATTGGGGCCGTGCCACCTTCCTCACCCTGCAGTACCCCAGTTGCTTTGGCTGTGCCCAAACCATCAGTCCCTCCTTTCACCCCTTATTTCTGCTCTGGAGGGGCTGAGGCAAAGCTGCAGCCCCCGGCCCCAGACCAGCACTGGCTGTGAGCTGCAGGTGGGTGAGGAGCAGAGTCCTGCAGTGGGTCCCAGCCCTGCGGTGGGTTCCCACTTTGCTGGCAGCCGCTGCCTGGGCCTGGCAGGGCCAGAAGTGGCACGGCTGCTCCGTGACTCTGGGAGAGTGGGAATGATGCCCATGGCCTCCTCAAAGGCGTGGCACAGCTGCGCCTCTGCCAGGCCCATGGCCGTGGGACTAGCTGGCCAAGTGGCCCATGGCCCATGGCTCTCCAGCAGGACTTTGGGGCTGCAGCAGGACTGTTGGTCCCACAGGACCCTGTGCTGGGGCAGCTCTGAGGCACCCCATGGTCGGGGCAGTGCAGCACAGCGAGAACCAAGGACAGAGTGATGGCAGCAGCTGGACCATTCCTCGATATTAATAGACATTCCCAAGAAAGCAGCGAGGACAGAGTGGGTATGGTACTAAATAAGGGCGGCAAGTACCCGGCACCGGCCATGGCTGCAGCCCAGGAGCAGGGGCGTGTGGCGAGGCTGAGGAGGGCAGGGGCGGTGGGTGAGGGTGCCGGATGTTGGGACGTCGTGGCGTTGGGGAGCTGCGGCGTTGGGGTCCCGAGGTGTCAGGATGCCGTGGCAGCGCAGGCTGGTGACAATCAGGGAGCTGTGCCCAGGAATAGGGCAGGGGCCGTGCGGGCAGTGAGACAGCCGCACCGCGCCGTGCCGACCCGCGCTATGCCGTGCCGGGACGTGACAGCCCCGCCGCGATCCGGGTTCCCAGCGGAGGCGGAGCCGCGCAGGGAGGATCCCGGGACGAGCAGCGGCGGAGCGGCCATCGCTCGGCACCGCCCGGCGCGGCGCGGCCCGGCACAGCGCGGTACGGTACGGTGCGCGCCGCCCACAGCGGCAGCGGGGCCGCTCCTGGGGGGAGCGGGACTGAGGTTGCGCCCGGCTCGGGGGGGCCGGAGGGTCCCGGCCGGGAGCGGGGCCGTCCCGGTGCGGGGTCCCGCGCTGCCCCCCCCGTGCCCGTCCCGTTGTCGGGGCGGCCGGGGCTGACCCGTCGCCGCAGCCGCGCCGCGGGGATGGCCGCCCGCATCCTGCACCGCCTGCGGCACGCGTTGGGCGCGGAGGGCGCCCGGGAGGAGCGGACGCACGACGGCGTTGAGGCCGAGGACTGCCCCGAGAGCTCGGAGCTGGAGGACGACACCGACGGGCTGTCCACGCGCCTCAGCGGCACCCTGAGCTTCAGCGGGCACGAGGAGGACGAAGAGGAGGAGGAGGAGGAAGGCGGCGGCGAGGAGCTGCAGGCGGGGGATGCTGCGCAGGACGGAGGCAGGTGCTGGGATGGGTACCCTGGGCTCCCGCCGCCCCCGCGCCCGCTGAGCCCTTCTCCCCGCACAGAGTGGGGCCCGGCGGCGCGGCCCGGCAGCCTGCTGACCCGGCAGCTGCAGGAGCTGTGGCGGCGGTCGCGGAGCAGCTTCGTACCGCAGCGGCTGCTCTTCGAGGTCACCAGCGCCAGCGTGGTCAGCGAGCGCTCCTCCAAGTACGTGGTGAGTGCGCCCGCGGGGCCGCAGCGGCGGGTGAGGGTCCGGGCGGGCGGGCGCTCACTTCTCTCTGTCTCTCCCTGTGCTGCTCTGATGGTGCTGCGGCTCAGATGAGCCTCAGGTAACTACGGCCGGCAGCTCCGCCGTGTGAATGCCCCTCTGGGGGCACGGCGTGCCCGTCCCTTCATCTCCTTTGCTGCTGTGCGCTCGGTTCAGCCCCGGCCCCACCAGGGGCCGCGTCCCCCAGCACAGCACCTCCCGACCCCCGTTCCCTGCCCACAGCTCTACACCATCTACCTGATCCGCTCCGGGCACTTGGACAAGGCTCCTGCCGCCATCTCCCGTCGCTACTCGGACTTCGAGCGGCTGAACCGCCGCCTGCGCGGCCGCTTTGGCTGCGACATGGCGGGCATCGCCTTCCCCAGGAAAAGGCTGCGGCGCAACTTTACGGCCGAGACCATCGCCAAGCGGAGCCGAGCCTTCGAGCAGTTCCTGTCCCACCTGCACTCCATCGCCGAGATCCGCCGCTCCCCCGAGTTCCTTGAATTCTTCTTCCTGCAGGACCTGCGCGCCGCCCAGCGCCTCACCTGCACCGGCATGTACCGCGAGGCTCTGGCCACCTGGGCCAACGCCTACCGCCTGCAGGACCGCCTGGGGGTCTGCGGCTCTGGCCGCTTCCTCCTGACGCTGGCCGGGTTGGTTGTCTGCCACCAGGAGCTGGACCAGCTGGGTGAAGCCCACGGCTGCTGTGAGCAAGCGCTGCAGCTGCTGGAGGCCCAGGACAGCCACCCACTGCTGGGGCCCTTCCTCCAGGCTCACGTCCACCTGGCCTGGAAAGTGGGCAAGGACAAGCGGCAGTCGGAAGCCCGGCTGCAGGGCCTGCAGGAGGCCGGCGTGCCCTTGCAGCAGCAGCCCAGCCTGAAGGAGTGTCTCATCAAGGAACCTCTGGAGTGAGGCTGGGGGCCGTGGGATGCAGGACAGTTTGTGCTCTCTGGGGCGGGAGAGGGAGCAGTGAGGGTTGGGATGGGGCACAGAGGCAGAGTTGTGTTGGCACAGCCTGTACGTGGTGGCTGGGATCAGGGTTGGCCCCTCTGGGAGCTATCTCTTGAAAATGCACTTTCTATATCAGTTTTTCCACCGCTGCTGGGTGCTTGCTGCCCGCACTACCTGTCAGGAGCCACCTGCTCCTTGGGGTTCTCAAGACAGACAGGACTCTAGCTGAGACACATTGGCACTGCATTAAAGGGACAGGAAGGCTTCCAGCCAGGAACTTCCAGTAACAGAAAATGAAAAGGACTTTAATAAAGTCATGGTAGGAGAAAGAACAGGGGTTCCTGCAGTATCTGTGTAGCTTCACTTCCCCCTGAGGCACCGCACAGAGACACCCACCAGCAGGAAGCCCTTGCGCTTCCCAAACCAGGAGGTGGGAACATCCGTGTTCTTCCCTTTCTTTGTGGCTGCTGTGCTCCCTCTCCAGCCCAGCACCAAAGGGGAGACTAAGGTGCTAGCAGCAGCAGCAGCAGCAGCTCACCCATAAGGGCACAAGGAGGTCAGCAGAAGTGAGAAGAGGAAGCCACATGAGCTTTGCAGTAGCACTTTCCTTTCCTGTGACCTGTGTGCTGCAGGGCACAGCCAGCCCTATGTGTCCTGGTGCTGCCCTCTCCTCCCGTGCCACAAGAAGCTCCCTGAGTTACATACAGTCACCCAGAGTTGAGGGGACAAACTCCAGGGCACAGAGCTCAGCTGCTCACGTGATGGCTTTATTTACCGTGGGTGAAAAGTGGCTCAGCATAGCGCGCCATTACGCTGCGCAGCTGGCAATCAACAACAGCACTAACACTGCAGTCCGTGCAGAATCACCTCAGTGTTGAAGTCACCAACACTTCCACCTGTGTGACTCAGCCCCTTCTTTTCTGCTGCTCCTTCTGCTGCTGTGCGGGGTCCTGCCTCCGCCACAGCCATTCTGGTGCAGGCTTCAACCCCAGCACACGGAGCTTGGTCCAACTGCTGCTTCCTTGGCTAGAGTTTACTCTGGTTTGGGTTCTGCTCCACCCGGATGACTCCCTCCTGTGTGCAGGTGACAGCCAGGACCCCATCCCTGCGCCACAAGCGTCCGTGCACCAGCCCTCGGCATCCACCTGCAGAGAATGGTGTGAGACCGCAGCCCCGTGTGCGTTGCATCAGCCTTTGCCATGTGGTGTCCAGGGAACCAGCCAGGACTCACCAGCCCAGGGGCTCTCGCACTCATACAGCATCCAGTGGTCAGATCTGAAGGGCGCATGGAACCACATGGAGTGGTCAAGGGACACCATGAATTTGATGTTGTACTGACGATGGGGCAGTAGGGCCGTGCCCAGAAAGGCATAGTCAGAGATGTAGGCAGCCACGCAGCAGTGCACCTTCATGTCAGTCTCTCCTACAAAAAGCCAGTGTTTGCTCAGTGCCAGGTGACTGTGGGACACATCTGGACACAATAGGTGATGTAAAGCTCCAACAGCTGTGCATCCCCAAGGCCAGCTGTGAGCCCAGCAGCACTGCAGCACTACTTCAGACCTTCAGCCTTTGCTATGGCCCAGGCTGAAGGCTGCAGGACTGAATACAGTAAATGGGCATTGCCTCACACCCTGACCCCCTGCCCTTACTTCAGTCCTGAAACCCCCAAACTTCCCCCAGCCTTAGGGCATAGGGACCACAACTCTCCCAGCCCTCTGTCATGAGTGTGAGAGCTTGAGCCCCAACCCTGGATTTGTGTGGCAGACAGGGGCCCCTCCAGGCGGTACCCACCTATGTAGCCTCGGGCTCGCACCCAGAAGAACTGCTTTGGCTCCTGTGACTCTGTGCAGAATATATCTGGTGGGTTCACAGGTTTGATATCAATCGGCACATCTTCAGCTTGGATCTTGTTGAGATGCTTTCTGTATCTCTCTGCCAAGTTAGGATTCCTTGAGACCAATATGGAGAAGCAAAGTCAATGCCCAGTACCCATGGAAGGCAGCGTCAGCCCAGGGCCACAGGAGGGCACAGCTGCTGCCTGCCTATACTTCCCTTGCAGGTGTATGTGGGGACTCCTTGGGTTATCACTGCAATCCTTTCCCATCTGCTTCTGTCCCTGTGCCTCCCTAAGCCCCAGCACAGAGCAGGGAGCCCCCAGGGTGTGCCCTTTCCTCTCCACTCACTGCAGGAATTTCTCAATGAGCTCCTCCTGTGTCAGCAGCTCCTCAGGGGGTGGCACGGTGGGCATGGTGAACTGATGCTGCACAGGACTCTGCTGGGCCAGCTGGAAGGAGGCCTGGCAGATGAAGATAGGCTTCCCATGCTGAATGGCCTTCACAGAGCGGACGGAGAAGCTCTTTCCAGTACGGGTCCGTTCCACCTCGTACAACACCGGCACCTTGGGGTCCCCTGGGTGGATAGGAGCCTTTGGCCGCGGGGCAGCCATGCACCACAGAGGGCCCCGATCTGCGCTGGCGGAAAGCCGGGGCCGGGCAGAGGAAGCACCGCTCTGCCGCGGCAGGCACGGAATGGCGGCCCCGGTCCCGGCCCCCCCCGGCCCTGACAGATCCGCCCGCCCGGCCCCGGTATCCGCGAGCCGCCCGAGCCCCGCGGCGCGGTCCCACCTGCGCGCACGAAGTAGCAGTGCAGCGAGTGGGCCTGGAGGTCACGGCTGACGGCGCGGGCGGCTGCCACCAGGGCCTGGCCCACGATCTGCCCGCCGAAAAGGCGCCTCGTCGCGGGCACCCAGTGGTGCTGACCCCTAACGGGAGAACGCGGCGCCGGTCAGCGCGGCGGTCAGCGCGGCGGCACGGGCGGGCGGAGCACCGCGCACCTGAAGAGGTCGACCTCGAGGCGCTCCAGGTTGAGCACGCTGGTGATCAGCACGCTCCGCAGGTCCCCGGCCGCTGCCAGCCGCTTCAGGCCCGAGCCCGGCCCCGCAGCCCCGGTATCGCCCGGCTCCGCCATCTCCGCCGCGACCCGGAACCGGCACTGCCTGCAGCCACATCCGGCAGCCGCTCGGAGCAGCAGGAAGTCCCGCCCACGCGGCCGGAGGCGGGAGCCACCAGCTGATTGGGCTCTCGAGTCGTCAATCACTGGACTGGCGGCAGAAAACGTTGCGCTGGTTGGCAGGCCTCCCGCCAGTTGGGAAAGAACTGCTGTGATTGGTCGGACGGAGGGGGGGGCGGTGCCCCATCGGGTTGATAAGGGCCGGCAGGCAGCCCAGCCCTCAGATTTCGCCATGGAGCTCGGGGCGTGTTTTCGGACGTACCGGGAGTTCAAGGAGTCCCTGTGCGCCTACCAGCAGGCCCACGGCTCCCACTATAGCCTGCGCAGCTGCACCTCGGTGCGCTTCCACAACCGGGAGCACGGCACGGCCGTTCGCGAGGATGTGATGTAAGGCGGCCGTCTCCCGGCGTCGTGTAGGCCTCG